GAATTTATATGAATGTTTTGTTCTTACATTCTCACCGTAACTTAATTTTGTTATATAAATCTTGTTTATATCATCAGATAAAATTAAGAGTCAGTCAAATAGAGACGATTTTAATTTTGCTTGGCAATATTGTCAGATCATTAAGATCGTATTTGTCTCCGCTCAACAAGTGAGAATTTGTAGTTAAATTGTATGATGAGATTACGTTACGTCTTACTTCTTTTATTGTTTTCACCGATTTAGACACATCTGATATGTTGGTCATGCACGTCTTTTATTCTTTTCAGGTTTAATTTGACAATGTGAAATCATCATCCCACAATAGAATCTATTTCCTTTAAGCCATTTCACACTCTCCCATTGATTCCCAAATACCGTGTCTTAGAATGATATACAAGTCTTTGTGAGTGGAGCTATTTCACAATTTCTAACGCATATCTACATGCATGCTAGACAATATCTATTAAAGATATGGACAGCTATCATATATATACATTATATATATATATATATACATTATATATATATATATATATATTTATAAGGACCTTTTCTTAACCAAAACAATGGTGTCAACTTTGCTAATTCGTAGACCAATCAAATCATTCTTTAGTAATGGTTATTTCAAATGTTAAAGTCAATGATTGAAGGTACATATGTAATTTTCATTTGTAAGTTACTTCATTGGATTAAATGAGATGTTACAAAAAAAAAAATTGTTTTTAGGGATGATAATTATATTATCCTTTTCCAAATTCTCAATGATTATGGTGAAATTAATTTGAATGATTGATAATCAAATTCAACAATTTGATTCGGATGGTTTATTCGTTTATGGTGTTTTGAATGATATGTTCATTAGTGAAACCAGTTCACATGATATCCATGCGTGAACCAAAAACATTAATACACAAATAATCGGGTCAAAGGTTCATTCGTGAACCATTTTCAAAACTACCGACTTTTGTCATGTACCATATAAAAAATGTTCATTAGAGAACTAATAAACTCTTTATAAGTGAAAAAGTAAAATGTGATTGATTCCGGTTTCAAAACGATGAAGGAGAGATTCCCATGCAGGAACTTAAATCGGTGCATGATAAAAATTCATGATTTTGCTAATTTTACCTTGTTCACTATTGTTCATTACGACATAGTACACATTTTGCTATTATTACAAAAATGTCATTGATGTTTAAATCCGTAGATTGGTTAAATTAAAGGTCATGATTGGTTCATATCCTTAGCATCAAATATGTGGTTGTGAAACCGAAAAGATGCTATCAGATATAATAGAAATTGAATTTTGAACATTTTGGCTAGTATTAAATTGATGAGATGACTCTTATTTTGAATGGCTACCAGATTGTGTGTAACATCCCGTCCCACATCGGTTGGTGAGGAGAACTAAGCACTCCTTATAAGGGTGTGGATACCTCATCCTAGCATGACCGGTTTTGGGGCTTGCGTTGTGCGGCTGCCAGAAACAAAACCGTGCGACTACTGCTTTGTGGTATAGCGGGCAGGTTAGTCAAAGCGGACAATATCATTGCTACGGGGTTCTGGGGGCGTTACATTGTGTTTCTTAAATTTATTCAACTTCAAAATAGCCTTATCGTCCAACAATCAATCATCATTCACTTATTTAATTCTCTGTTCGATGATAATAATTTTACATTTCCTGGTATTTTCAAAATTTCTAATGTTTGTATAGCTAGTTGGCTATTTACCTTTCCTCAAAAAAAAAAAAAAATTGATGATTGTGTTATGGATGATATTTGATTAAAACTTGAGTTAAAAGCTTAAAATTGAATAGCATTTGTATAGAAAAAATAAGTGAATTCATGATATAAAAAAACTTATTACACAATTAAATATGGTTTTAATGTTGTAGCAAGATTTCACCAAATCTCTCCATTTATTCATTACCATTTTTTTTTATAATAATGCTATCACAAGGACCAAACTGAAATGTTTTTTAAATATTTACATAAAAAAGTAGAAAAAGCAATTAAGGTGGATCTAAATGGGTTGTGTTGGATTTCCATTTATACAATATCTCCTCAATGGTGCAATCTCATCATCATAGTTGAAGTTTTTTTTTTCTTCCTTTTTTTAAGGAAAATAATCATTTTATTTGTACAAACATACTTAAAACCCTAACATCAAAAAATAAAATAAGAAGTGTTTGTAACATCGACCGTATAATTGATGGTTTTATTAAAACCTAATCATAGAATTTGTGTTTGGTTATATTTGACAAATTAGTTAATAAACTAACTGATAACTGATAAGCTATCTTAGGTGGTAGTTGATAATATATCTGATGAACAAATCAAGTTTGATTAAAATTAGATGATAAGCATTTAAATATATAAAAAGAGCATCTTGAAAATTTTGTTAATTACAATATGAATAAAATAATATATTAATATAAATAAGATAGTAAAGAAAAATTAAAAAAAATATAATATGTTAATTAAAAAAAGGACAAATTG